AACCGATTCTCTGGAAATGATTCAAGATTCAAATTGGTCAGCTCGGTTCCTCAGAAGATCATTCTATTATTCTGGAAAAGCCACAATCGTTGTACTCAGCTTTTCGGCAGACAATTTCTGGCAGTAGTGTTGAATTTCACCCCGAAAGAGTTCTGTTCGTAGATTCCACGAAGAAGAAAAGTGAAGTAGTACATTATTTCATCTTACATCATTTTAGATCTTTCGTTTACGCAATGCATTCCCAATAACGAGTACTAACAATGGGATTCATTACCGATACGAAGAATCTTTTAATTGACCTGAAGCTTGCATTTTGGAGGCAATTGAAAATAATCCTCAAGGGTCAACCTCAGTCAAAGGTACACCTTCCAATAAATCTCATACCCTTTTTGAGTAAACCTGGTTGACAGAATTTAATCAAGCTCAGTAGCACAACACACATTGTGACAGTAGTGAGAAATGTTCCCGCGAATCCGGATGCTTATTTCACCTTCATTCATTTACCCTTTGCTGGGGTATGCATCCTTAGTGTAAGTCAATACAATGTACTGTTATGTTTGAGCCTTAACCGTTGTGATACATTTTGAAGACTTTCGCCTCACTAATACCACCAAAATTTTACTTCGCCTCAAGTTGCTCGGTTATCATTGAGGTCACTTCTAAGGACAGGAGAGCTGTACATTCAGACTGTCGGGCAATACACAAAAGCGCAGCGTTTTTAAACACGTCTCTTGTTCAAAACAGTAACCTCTTGAGAGATCGTCCATTAGAAAGGACTGTCTTATTTGGTATCCTGAGACTTGAAGACCATTTCTTAGATCGCAGAATGGCAGCTTTTAGAACATTTTTGTAAACCTTACCAGGGGGCCGAAAGCTCACCATCTTTGACTTTGGGAAGTGTAATTACGCGCCGGTGCATTCGATCAAAAGCAGTTGTTTAGTTGTGATAACCAGACTATTGCCTAGTGGAATTTTTTAGACCAGCTTGTCTGAAGTGCACTCACACTAGTGACAAAAACGAAATAGATCAAAGACCGGCTGCACTGGATATTCTGTTGTTTTCAGTCCTGATATTCCATTTTACTGGCTTTTCCTGTGCAAACCAACGAACCAAAATCTTCACGTGCCGCCTTGAGTTTTGCAGCTCAGTTGCCCAAACAGGTTACGCAAGGACAATTCACAGGCTACTTTTACAAGAACCAGGCCTACCGGTGTGAGTCCCTTTTATTGCACTATTTCCCTACGTCCCTACTCACGTAACGATGCATACTACTGATGAGGCATGCAGTGCCCAAAATTCTATCCCGCATCTGTCCAGAGTTTTTGAAAAGTGAACGTTCTCAAACGTGCTTTTAAACTCTCCTGGACGTTCATCAACGATCAGACATGAGTAAACAAACACTACAAAACGGTCCATAATCCCCGTAATCACTTCCCTCTTCCATCGGATGAGGGGACGGAGCTTGCACACCAGACCATAGACTACTCGCATGCATCATCAGTACTATACATCGTGACATTCAGATGTTACGGATGGTCAAAATCTTGAAAGAATGACGACGCAACACTATGACACGGGAAGCTGAATGAATTGTGGGTTTGCACTCGGCTAGGTCACAGTTGGTCAGCGCGCATTGATTTCTAATTCCACCTCTTTCCCAGAGGGTGTGATTTTGGAGGTCCTGGACGTGTATGGACTGTTCCACCGTCAAGAATATTTGTTATTTGTCAAACCCAACCCGTTTAATTATGTTTTATACAAAACACACTGATTTGAAATTCACACTGATTTTACCGAAAGGCTCAGCAGTATCCAACTTACTTCCCCGTTTATGATAATCTTTAGCTGAATACGCTACACAAGGTTACCTCTTGTTTCAATTAACGCGGTTCCCGAGATTTCGCAATATGTTCCATCGAAATAACACGTTACTTCCACTACCCCACTATACGACTACAGGTAAAGGGCTGTCTCAAATTTTTGAGCAAACTTGTGAGTGACTGAAAAAGGCACTGAAAGAGGAGCAGGAAGCAAAAGTGGAGAGTGCTTAGGACGCTAATGTTACAAGCAGGTGCTGCGAGTTCAGAGTTTAACCAGCTATTCGGGGACGTCATGGAATGTGGCTGCTTGTCTCTCTGCATAGAACAACTACTAATGATGGACATTATGCAAAAGCAACTGTTTTACAGCTTTCAGTCAACTTGGTATTAAAAATACTTTAACGTAAGTGACGTGAGAGTAGAATATTCTGCCAAAGATTCATTTGTGGCATATGGCGCCCAAGGTTGAATAATGTAAGTACGAAACTCGCACACATCAGAGAATGTGAGGAATTCATGGCAAGTTTTCTTTTTAACCACAGGTGATGTGTTGTTTGTTGTACTTGAACAGTTGTCTCCAACTGGATTTCTGGCAAAGTTGTATAAATGTGCTTGATTTAACGTCAAAAACAGTAAGTTTTTCACCTCAAGCTAGTTTATTGAAATCGAATTTGAGATTTTAGAGCTGGTTTGTACAACACACGGTATTTTCACCAAAGAAAGCCTTTGTCCCACAGTCCCGTCCAAATTACTCACCCAGGTCGCAGTATACTGACTTTGTCCCGTTCATTCGGGTGGTAACCAGCAAGTCACTCATTCATTCATTGTACAACCTAGGCCAGAGTCACCAATGGAAACAGGTACATACAACCATCAATGCCGGTGTGGCAGAAACTCAGGTGACAATTGGTTGTGAGACTAACAATGGAACACGGCAATATTTGGAAGCTGGAGGGTCACCAAGGTCGTAAATATGCTCCGAAAAATAGTCATCATTGAATGGCGGGCAAACTATTTGGATTCTTCCGAGTTTCTAGTGGATTCTCATCTGAATTCTTTTCACTCTATCAGTCAGGATGTAGAAATACAAAATCAGGTGTAATCAGTGAGTGCAGAAATTTACGTTGCACATTATAGAATCCACGTAGTGACTGGACTTCGGTACTTAGTGTGGTCAAATTACTTAATAACATCCATGCTAGGTCAAGCGTAACTGGGGTGAAAATGTAGACTTTGGTTGCCCTCTGGATACATTGTACAGTAAAAGTAATCCAGCGGCTTCAATCTGTCGATTATAGGCGGAATGTTTGATAGGTGGCGGTTACGAAATGGAGTTTCATGAACCTGGTTAATATGCTCGAAAGGCTACTTCGTTTTACCGCAGTAGCCTTTAACTGAACTGCTTTACTGATCCAATCACAAACGTTTGGAGTTTTTGACGGTACTCCTACTTTTTTGGTGAAACGTCTAACGACTGGCTCGGGCCTACGTTTTATCATTCATCTTTTGTCAGTTTCTGGAAAAACTCCTGGACTGTAAACTGAACTTTTAAATCATCCCGCGGAAAATGTAATGCGCTTTCGAGTACAGTTTATTTGATCCAAATGGAGGTTGACCGTCGAAAGATTTAGGGAAAGAAATAACTGAATTAGACGAGGAATGGAGGGTGAAGTTCACCAGCGGTAAAGTAATGACACTTTTATGGAACTGAACGTCTCAAAACGGATTGACCAAAAAGTCACAGTTGTCAGCAGTACAAAGCCTCACTGTTATGCGTTAGTATTACGCTGTGCCGTCATACCCAGATATATTAGCCTTAACTAGAAATGCACTTGAAGGTCGTTTGTCGTGGGGTTCTTCATGCTACTCGATTTCCAGAAGAAAGAGACCGTCTGTCCAAAACTCCGCTATCGACGACATGACACCACGGAGTCATGATGCCATGCAAAGCTTCAACATTTTCAAATGCGCTGCGAACTTTTGTGCCCTCGATTTGAAAAAATTCCGCTGATCGTAACTTAACCAAATAAACGGTGTGAAACACGGGTTGCCAAGAAACGCAGTGGTTACTTTGTTCCGTGCGATTGGTGGCCTTCACATTGTGTATGCCTTCGTTTTGCTTGCGTTAGAACCAGGATATAAAGAATGCTTCGCAGTTACTCCCTTTAATTTCGTATCACAACCAAATCAGACCTTTTTCTCAATAGATTATAGGGTCTTGTCAGCAAGACTTACAAATTGGGCGAAACGTGTCGTTGAATAGCTTCTCTCCTTGTTGCATCGAGGAGGACTAATGTAATGCTCCCTGTTTATTTCCAAAAGTTATTTGGGGATTAGATCGTGTAAGTACTGGTTCTGCTCGTATCTTTGGCTGTGCGGTTAATCTTTGAGAATTCGTTGAGATCCGCACTTGGGTGTCTAGATGCTAGATATCGCTGAGATACACAGTAAACTACTGCAATATTTCGTCAACCAATGTCTACTTCTTCTTCCTGTAAGTGAGCATGCTTTTAGCAACTGGCAAATCTGCTTGTAAGCCATATTTGATTTCAGGACGTTTGACTTTTGTTGGTAGTGTGAGATTTTGGGGATATTGAGTAATGACTTTGTCATACTAGTGCAGTCAGTTTATGCTGAGAAGCTAAGGAGCACCGTGCAGCTGTCTCGACCTTATTAGGAATCATTAGCGTTGTGTATCGTACGAAACTCCAGGAAGTCTCGTACCCGCAAATCCCGGCTGGTAGTTGAACACCCAACTGTTCGGCCACGAGCGACTGGTCAGCAGTTTAATTAACTCGCTTTTAGTTAGGAGAAAGAGAGACTCCTCCTTCTATCACGGAATCTGCATCACGCAGTAACTTTCTGACTGGCTCTCCGATTCGTTGTGGGTCCGTCAAGCTTAGGAACAGGTTTCATAGAATGCATGAGACTTTGGATAGATGAAGGAAACTACTTGGTCTGACACTTTTACAGAGAAAAAAGACGTTTGGATATCTGCAGAAAATCAACCTTCATAAATAAATTCAGTTCTCAGGTAGAAGCCAGAAGTGAACGCAAAAGCAACTAACACAGTCATTAAATGATTACGTAGGTTTTTCAGCGAATCCCGTTACTCGTAAGGTTTAATAAAACCTTGTCCCCTAAACAAAGCTGTTGCAACTTGTATTTGTTAGAAGTATATTTTGAAATCAAGTCAAGATGTCACTTAAAAAAGTTTCCAACAAGTTTGTCAATAAGGACCTAGATCAGGTCAGCTTTTTGGTTAAGCAAGCTTCACGATGTCAGAAATCATGCGTTTTAACGCCCGTCCAGTTGCCCAATCAGCCCATGAGCTGTCGCCAGCAAGTTTACCGGCTGTCTCCCGTTAGTGATCAAAGAACTCTCCAACCCCAGACAGTCCAGAAGTTTCTGTGCTTGATTGGCGCCGGCATTTGCGATGGAAGCTATGGTGTCCGCACCCACGGCATCTACCATTGAGGTGAACCGATTCACTTCAATTTCCGTCTCCTCAGTCCGAAAAGCCATCATCACAGCGTTTTTCGCACTCAGATACTTCAGTTCTGTTTCATTCATTTTCTCAGTTCTGTAAAGTTCGCCATCCTGTCGGGGAAATAATAAAAAAATAAATCAATTTAAAATAATTATTTACAACGGTATTATGGTAATTTCGTGATTCCCAAGACAGCAGGTGATAGGTAATGGACAAATACCTGGGCGCGGTAGAGAGGTTACGAAAAAGTTTAGATACAATGCGTTTGAAAATGAGCAAGTAGTAAGTACACATATGTAGCAGTCAGAAAAATCACAGTTCAAGAGGTGAGCAATATAGCCAGAAGTCTTTACCGTTCCCTGTCTGTGGTCGAATTTTCATAGAGACTTGATATCGACAGAGCAGCCACGGGTAAACCTACGTAACAGAAACAAGGTCATTGTTCGGCAACATGATGAAGTGATTATCGATTTGTGCCAGTTTATTGGTCCAGACCCATAGAGGAGCAAAAAATAAAATTCTATGGTCATTCGAAATTTGTCTGTCCAGTCCACAGTCTCCCGAGTAAAAAGTGGATCATCAAATGATTATTCGGGTTTTTCAGAGCACTGGATGTTACAAAAGAGGCCTCATGGCCAAGTAAGGAAAACTGAACCAACCGTATGACACATGACGTTTGTGACAGTTGATGCTTTCAGATAGTAAGTGTTATGCTGTAAAGATGAATACGTTTCGCCCTCACTAGCTACTGTGCTGCACTCTTTGTGTAGGCAAAAGAGGTTTTAGATCAGTATCGATGCAAATGAGACGGTCTTCAGGCGTTTTTGATACCGGATCGCATTGTGGAGAGAAAGGGAATCCCATCAGTTCTAACAGTTTCTTGATACGAATTGCGCTTCATGGTCCCCGGTGTGCTCGGTTTTTATGGGAAGCACTGCACTAATGAAATAGTATGCGAAGATAAGTAACCTAGACTCGCACTTTAAATAATAGTACAATGCGTTTAGGTCACTCTGAACCATGACGATCCAGACAGCACGGGAGCGCTGAGGCGACTTGTGGAACCTGGTAAGTGGGTTCACAAATGTTTTTGGCTACAGTGTGTAGACTTTTTAGGATTCCAAAGCAAAGAAATGCATTATTTTGATCAATCACTGTGATTTACGGAGGGTTTGGATTTTAAAACAACTCATCAAAACTGAATCAGCCGTGGACTGGGATAATTGAACAAGTTGAATCGTTAATTTCTTGAGACTCTTTGGCTGTTAAAAACTTTGGCAAATTTTTATTGAGGTTGGCAAAAATTGTGGACTTGTAACGACTTACCCCGCAGTTCCCTATCATACTGTGTAAACGCTTTCAAAAAATTATCGTATCGCAAGACAAACTGTTGTGTATAATGCTTTTGAGACTTGATTGGGATAATGGCCGTGGCTGGTTTTCGTTTATTGTTTACTGTACAACTTCCATCAAGTCCGTTTTATCCTAACCCAGACGTACATTTGTTTCATCAAAGCAGATCTCTAGAGTTGTCCGAAGGATTGTTTAACTCTTATTGACTCCAGTTGAAGTTTAACTTTCTGGTTTTTATCATACTGAGATTGTAATCCCGTGCTCAAATTTCTACATATTAACATCATTAAAAGAGAACATCAGAAGAGAATCGTAGAATGCTGCGTAACTACCCACTGACTTAACATTTTCGTAAAATACGGCGATTTGTTCTGGAGAATTTCCGCTAAACGGAGCCATGCTGGAAATAGTCTGGTGTGAAAAACCCTGCTCACAAAGAAGTCTCTCAAGAAGGGACCAAAAGCTTCCTTCCTACGGTGTTTCTATTCCGGGAAATTAATGTTTGCGCTCGGGTTTCGCTTTCCATCACCAGGTCTGTCGTTCCGATGTTTCTCGGAACAAGGTCGCAATATAAAATCGCGATATGAACAAATGCAATTGCAGTACACCTCGAATTAAAGTGCGGTCTATGTACAACCGGGCTTTGTTGGATTCTGGTCATTGTTTTATGAGGTTTATCTGTGCTGCAATAAAACTAAATAGTTGGCTTTGAAATATAGTAGGAGTAACTTTAAGAGAAAGTACTATTAGTCACAAATCAACAGGTGTCAATAGTGCCTCAAGCTCCAGGACACTTTTCAGTTTTGGTAGGCGGCTTTAAGAAATGCTGACATGTTCACTTCATCTTGTCGCTTGATATAATTTGCGTGTCCCTGAAGATGGTTCCACTGTGGCAGGGGTAATGTTCTTGACATTTCTTGAGAAATAAAACCAGTACTCTGGAAACCACCAGTCCCAAAGACGATGAGGCGGGGAAGCTCCAGAGACAAAGAATTTTGTAGAAAACTGGAATGTAACCCTTCTTCAGAACAATGGCTCTTTGCCTGGAGTCTCGGCTGATGAGCTTACTGTGTGACGCTTCATCTGACCAACGACCCTTCATAAGAGGACAAATACACTCAGAACAGGGCAGTAAGTCTACGGAACATGGCTGGTAACCAATTCGGCCTGATTAAAAGTAAGAATAAAGAACAGATTACGTGCCAGCGAATGATTTTTCTCAGAGGGTAAAGAATGCGTTGTAGACAGCATATTAAAATTTACGCTTTTGAGAGATCACGTTCGTCAACTAGTGTTAATTTACAGACGGGATCGGCCACTTACCGTTTCAATTATTTTAGCCTTCGCTTTTAACTTCGCACTCTCGATAGCAGCTTCCCCGGTTATCTTTGATGCTTCAGCATGGCTTTGCGCTTCGGCCTTGGCCTTACCAGTGCTCTGCAACGTGGCCAGCTGAACCCTCATCTCCACCAAATTTTTCCGAGCCTCTTCAACAGCTGCTTCGTCCAAAATTTTCTGTTGCTGCAGTGCTCCAAGCGTTTCTTGCTCCAAACGGTCAGCTTCGTGTCTATTACCAAAATAAACATTGAGAGAGTCAACCAATATATCTTTTTAAAAACGGAAATATTTGCCAATGAAAAATTGTGTACATGATGTATATATTACGTTTAGGCTTCATTGATTGTTGATCAGGTAGCTGATCTGTTAGCCGAGCTTGGCAAACGTTTCGTCACCGTACGAAGAGACATCACCAGTGCGTAGTTGAGTGGGTACTGATGATGTCTCCTAGTATAGTGACGGAATTTTCGCACGTCAATTGCCAAGCTCAGCGAACAGATCAACAACCACCTGGTCAACAACCAATTAACTCACCCGAGCTACCAATATTTCTGCACATACTGTGGTTTCATTAAAGCTGTGACTGTCTTGACTCATACCACCCCTCGGATAATGCCGTGGTAGGCCTAATAACCGGTCAGAGTGTAGAAACGTCTAAAAGCATGCAGATTCTTGTAACCAGCCTTTGCAATGAAATTTATGCCTGCTGAATAGGTTGAATTTAAGAAGTTATATAGTTTTTGGATTTATACTCTCAGCGTTTCCTGGGTTGTCTTCAACCCTCTGTGTCTTGCTTTGTGTGAAAGCTCAACACCTCGTAGCTACATTGTCAGAACTGCCTTGTGGAAATTTACCGTTAATTTACTCAGCATCATACTCCTAAAAATATATCTTTTTAACATTACAAACCTAGTTTGCTTGTCTCAGTCTACTCGTATCAAGTGGAAAATAAATGCAACTTGAGAAAACTCTTCCAGAACAAAAGAAGGACCTGAAAGCATGCATGAGCAGCAGTCGTCAGGCACCACATACTTGGCAGTTGCTTCCAAAGACTTGGTACGAATTTCAATGGCAAGTTGGACGGACTTTTCAAGGGATTCCCTTGCCTTCGCATCCAACGGCTCTACACACTGGATATCAATGCTTGTAATGTGCAAATTATTTTGTGGAAATATAAAGTGCTGTTGCGCCTGTTCGTTCTGATTCGCGCCAAACACGGAGGCACGAACAATGCGCGCGGAGTTCTGTTTTATAAGAAAAAAATCAGCATATAGTGAAAACAGTTGGTTAGGATGGACGATTAGAAGCATTCCGGTAAACCGGAAGAACAGCGAACAGCGAGGAATTCCAATTGGTTAATAGGATCTTTCTGATCCATTTACTGCCCAAGAAATATACATGTTGACAAACAAAAGCCGAGTTCTGTGGCATATTTTCAAATCAATTTTTCTACCACGTAATTTCAGAAGAGATGCAAGAAAACACGTGAAGAAAACATAGTCAATTAGGCTCTGCGAAGGATCACTGCGTATCTACTGACCGCAAGGTCTGTGGTTCGAACCCGTCCTCTGCCTCTCGACTTCTCCTGTCTAGGCTTGGGCAACCTGGCAGTATCCCAGCCCTCATGCAACCTGCAACGTTCCGGGGGCATGGATTCGTTTGTTCAGACAAAACGATAAACTGAAGATGACGAAATCAAAGAAAGTTTCAGTTGTTTAGCCGTCACCCTACAGTTTACCTAAGCCCTTAAAAGATCAGATACTGACGGGTGACACAATGAAATCTCAGTGGCTTCAATGTTAAAACCATCAAATACCACCTCACCCACATTTTGTCTCTCATCTTTTTGCTCGATAACTGCAAATTGAAAGCCTACTAGACAACTGTTCAAAGATATGACCACCCACGCGCAAAAGAGAGTCTATGAACTATGGTAACTATGGAGCAAAGCCTGTCCAGGGTGACCTCATTGCATTTGATAATTTCTCATCTATATCCTTTCATATGTCAAAGTAGCGGCAGGTAAATGGGTTTTTGTTCAATTACCGCGCGGAATTTCGTGGTTCCACCATACAATAACTGTAGACCTTCAGCCAGAACATGCGCATGCAGCATCAACTCTGTCATGATAGTCTATCATCCGATTACTCATGGTAAAAGTTCTGCTAGTCAAATATCAGCCAGGTTGACAGTCGATCTAGAAAATCAAAGACCTGACGCTCAGCTATAAAATCTGACGGTATATGCGAACCCAGAGCCGAAAAAAGTGATGCATGCTGTCACACAATATAACCAACCAGTTCATCCACAAGCGAAACTAACTGGAGATCAAAACACGTTCACCAACAAACCGAATTAAAAAACATTTTGAATTTTGACCAGATAAAGTAGAGAATGTCGGGAATGAATAAATAAACCTACATCTGTGAAAATTGTGTACGCCCGTCATGTCGTACACAGTTCAGCGTTGTCCAACAGTTACAGACGAGTAGAAACAAATCATCAGGTCTCACTTCTGTCAGTCTTATCGGAACGCAAATTATAAAATAACCGGATTGACTCTCACAAATCTGATCAATATTCTTGAACTTTGCAAGACCTTTTAAGAGATTGAACTTTCTCACTTGAGTGCAAATTTCTCACCCCTTTAAAACCCGATTGAAGCCGTCTAGCTGACTAATCTTTTGAAGACATCAAATAAATTATTCTATCTCACTCAATTTTGAGGCAGGGTAGCAAACCAGTTTAAACTCCCAGGCGGTGCAAAGCACCTTGGTATGGATGTGGTAAGCGATACAGTACCATACGGACAAGTTAAGGGTATGAAAAACGACACATCGGCGCGTCCAAAGCTTTTGGACATGGAAACCAATCCATTAAATGGGATTCCTCAAGAAACCACTTTTACACGTATGCTAAACTATTTTAGGCATCCACTTTATAACTAGCTGATGGTATACTTAGAAGACCTTACGAGTACCTTCATCAGCTTTCGTTTCCAACCAACTCGGTGACTGTCTGCATCTCGGAAATATGATCTATATCCAAACCAGTGACATCTCACAATACGTTACTTTGTACCTAAACCTAGAATAGTTGTGGATATACGTCCCGCATATATGGAGACTGTTGCAAATATACCAGGGTATCAATAAGCTGAATAGTTTGTTGTTCGCCTGCAGGCTGAACATGTCTAAAGTCAGGGACAGGTAGAAATCCGAAGCATTGTTATTCAATTTATATTTTCGTACTTACGTTTGTACTCGATAACAAGTTGACTGTCATTCACTTTCAAACCCAGCTAAGTAGCAGCACCAAAGTTTCCCAAAGTTATGGAAGTTGACCGAAGAACTGAACGGTGCAATTTGTCAAACATTTAGGTGTGCCCCCAAATTCTGCAATTATAAGTCGGCTACTAAATAAAACAATGAAAATGCTTCATACAGCACATCAACAAAACTGGTGGCTGCTCACTTTGTGAAAGTCGTCAAACGGAACTGCAGCCACAGCGCCACGAACACGGGAAGCCATTGCCTTACAGAGGTCCCCTACGAAATCTGGCACCGAAAACAGCTTTGCTGCCTCGGATTGTGAGCAGGGCTTGGGGACATTGAAGTGCCAGTTGTAAGACAATTTCAACGATAAACGAGCATGATCGGCTGTCTCTACCACAATTACATCTGTGCTGAAATCCGGACCAAGCAGCAGAAACAAGGACTTGATTTTATTCGGTTCTTTCGGCTTTCCGGCACTCAGATTAAGCTGTGTAAATTGTTCATCCGGTGCCAACATGACTAGTGTCGGACCGAACTCTACTCTGGCCCGTTTGGCGCGATAGTCGTATACTTGTACCGCGGCGTTGTGAGGCACACGCAACGTGACGACCTTGGTCAAGTCTTGACTAGGTACGTGCCCGTCATCCTGAATCGCTCTGTCATTGGCCGCTTCTTCACAAGGGGTTGCCTCATTAGCAGTGTGCAATAGTCGGACAACGTCATTCGGCAATTTCTTCTCCCACAATTCTTCCTCCTCATTCAACAAGTATGTTTCACCGATAACGGCGCGAATTTGACCGGTCCTTGTGTTGCGCACGTAGACACCTTCGTTTTGGTCCAGTGCAATGGCACTGCGAAACTCAACAACGGTCACCTCCAAGGGTGGAACATATTCCATCGGTCCACGAATAAGCCATCGAACACCGGGCTGTCGATACTGGAAGGCACGCAAAACGAGAGTGATGAGTAGGTGTTGAGTGTAAGTAATTTGTTTTCGTAGGGACGCAACTACTACTGACGGCTCCAAAAGTGGTACCGCAAAGGAGAATGAGTGGAAGCAACAACGTAGCTTCAAATTTGTTAGCACTGATGGCGATGGAATGCCTTCTAAGTGAAATGCATATTTTGTAGGTCATCTCCACTCAGAACTGCAACTTACGTCTTCTAGCTGAGGTTACAATAAGGAATATTTATTCATGAACCGTCGATGTGGACGGTAGCAGTTTCATTGTTGCCAATGAAGTGAAAGCCAACTTCACACTAAGGCTCGCATGGTTCAACCACCGGGACCAATAATCACTCGACCCAAGTAACTCGTATTAAACTATGCCTATATATATATATATATATATATGTATATATATATATGTAGTTGCACGTCTCATACAGGATGTGTCTCTAAGGCATGCTCTACCAAATCACACCCTGTTGCCGAAGTGCACACTCTTTGTGGCCGCACCAAGTATAAGTCTAACCAACTGCTTGATGCCGAAATGAATGTCAACGGACCGCATTTTATTTAAAAAGATCCGTGTGTTTGTGTGCGCCAAATTGGTTTTTCCTGCCATCATTAGAAACCGTGTATAAGTGGTACCCAAGATTCTGTGCGTTGGCAGTTAGCTGGCAGAAAAGCAACGAACTTCATTTCTTCCCGGGCATACCACGTAGCGACATTCTATCGAAGTACATTTGCTCCACCCACTTGGTTGACAATTTTTACGCACCTACGCGAAATCCAATGAACACAAACGTCAATTCATACTAACATTTTGCAAAAAAATTAAAATACAAAAAATTAATGGGTTTTCAACCGAATGTTAAATGTGCCAACAACGATTATCGCTAGAAACTCTGCAAACATTTATCATTCGATTAACCGAATATTCTGTGCGAACTGTTAAGAATCTCAGCCTTTTGGAGATTTGAAACGATACAGTCTTGTAAAACACATATCCAAGTATTTCTCTTCTCGCGGCAGCAATGAATGACCATATGAATAAAACTAACAAGATTCATGAAAGCGTACTACGCTTACTAGACTACAAACACTAAGCAAAAAGATACTGAAAACTGTGCTAACCTGGTTACCGCGTTTTAAGCCTTTGTTTACCAATCAAGCAGCTCACGGTTGTGCACGCCTCTTGAGTTAGTATCTTCCGCTAAAGAGATTCTGTGATAAGCGAGCAAAAACTGAAGGAGGTCTGATCTCAAAAGTAGGGTGTTAGTTCTGAGTACAATTATACGAATAACAGTACGTTTCATGCGGCGAAGAACAGAGTCCTACTGCTATTAATAAACTTGTTATTAAGGCTATTTTTAGACAGATTTCTCTACGGCAGCAATGCAGATCCTCAGTTGCACACTGTATCCCCATCTAGAGCGGAACGAGTATCTCCCTGCTTTCCAGTGCCTTTTTCTTCCGGGAATCTAGTAGGTATCTATGCGCTGAAGTAAGCAAATTTCCAACTGCTTGCGATAAAGCGTGGACTATGCAGCCGCCATCTGGTGTATTTTTGGTTGAACACCAAGTAAGCAACAAAAGCCCAATGTTTATCTCACTTACCACTTTTGTATGTTTGCCTTCTGACAAAGCAGCAGTTTCGTCAAAGAACCCTTCCGTTGCTCTCAAAATCATGCCGTCATTACTTTGTAAGATATGCGCATTTCGCACACCGGATTCTAACGTCTCGCCTGGTTGAAGGAAGAAAGTCTTCTCTCCTCGAACAACCTTCCGCCTCCCTAGTTGTGGTACACCTTTGTCATCCACGGGGTTCAAAATCACACAGTATTGTTGCGCATTGAGAATGGTTGCTTTTACTTGGCAAATAACCTCTTCGTGCACGCTGCAAATATGGCTGGCCGTTTGCGTCCGAGTAATGAGCCATTCCTCACCGTAACGTCTGTTGCAGCCAATTTCGTCCACATGGGCCTCCAAGGCGCGCACATGCAAGGCAGTCTGTGAAAAAAGAATAATTCACACGTTCGATAAAGTTATTGTGCAGAAAAATTCAACCGGCCACTGCTTCGGCTTTCGAGAAGGAAAGGCAATCTGGGAGAACTCCAATTAAAACTCTCTCATCGCGAGAATACTGGTAATTAAAAAGGTATAAACAACACAAGGTCACCATTTCTACCTTCTGAGAATATCTATATAGCGGAGTCGACCGTGAATTTAAAACCTATCTTGATCATCGGCGCCGTGTTTCTGATACACTTGATACGCTAGCACAGACCCAACGATCTGTATTATCAAGATCGGTTTCCATAAAACGATCTTCGGAGATCATAAAATCAAAAACAAACCATCCAAATCCAGAATTGTGTAACAGATTCTAACGTCACTTCTAGCACTGAAAATCCAGGCGGATCAAAACAATCTTGCAAATCTACGACAGACTGTGCAGTCCGGAATTCTTATCGCCAAAAGGGGGAGAGACTGACAAACTGGAAAATTGGAACTCCAAGTCAAGAAACTGGGGAAGACGAGGCAGACAAAATGTTCATGAGCCACTACTGTAGAATAAGTGACTTATTTCCATAAATTAGCAATAGTCTGTTTATGCTCCTTCAAATCAAAGAATTAACAACGTACTTCTGATCTATACGCATTTCACAGGCCAAAATTATTTTTCCTATGTATACTTGATTTCAGGTGTCCCCATGACAGTACCCATTGTTTCACGTCTTAGACAGTCTAACCGTGTATTTTGCACATTTTGGAGATCAGTAATGAGACGCTTACAGCAGCACACGTTTTCCACTCTGTTTCGATTTCGGGAATACATCTGCGTTTGTCGTTTCATTCTAGCAGCACTTGTGGGAACAGTTAGTTAAACAATCGAATATACCTGAAGGTGCTTTCAAGTCAAACGGCTTATGTCGGTTGGCTGTTGTTCATTGTCTCTGCCAAAACGTTACGATATCTCACGAGCTTGGGATAGTTTTGTCAGCAAATACAACCAAAACTTATTATAATAATAGGAAAACGCTCAGTATGACATGTAAACACAATCCTTTACCTAAACCAGTAACATTATATGTTTGGACCGAAAGCAGAAATATGAAAAAGCAAGTTAAAAGTTTTGTAACTTTTTGAAGACAGATCTTTTGCCCGAAATCTGCTGTGAAAGATGGAAATTAGGCCTTTTAAAATGTGTTCAAACATGTTGCCAGTGCGAATGCAGGAAGTACTTATAAAAAACAATGGGTTGAGCTATGAATTAGCAGTGATATGTAAATTCCTGGTTATGGAACAATAGTATGACCAAGGGATAAAGATGGGAGAACTCACGCAAAATTCTACTCGAGTTGAAAGGGTTCTATCTTGGTCGAAAAGAATATGTAGGAAAATACCAACTAATGACCATGGATAGAGGCCGATTCATTGAAAAAATGAAAAGACCATGAAAATGAAAGTTTGTTTACGTACCCGCCTTTTTAAGAGAGGATTTTCTAGGCTTTTCGACTGTTCTTATCAATGTACATAAAACTTTGTTCATATTTGCGTTTCATGAACTCTGGAATGTTTTTAGCCCCTACCAAAAATGCCCTTCCTGTTTTTAGTGATCGACTGGCAGTTGGTTTGACACCGTTTCTCCTGGCCGTAATAATATTTTGCCCGGCGTATGGACTAGGTTTGGAATATCAGTTCCACGAGGCTTTTCAACCATGTCGGTAGTTTCATCTTTTGCTCTCCTTAGCACCAGATTCTCATTACTGTTATTGTTAGGCTTCAACGTCAGTCCTTCGAAACTTTGCCCTATGTTTATAGATGCAACAAATCAGCCTAAACGGTTAGCTGAAGTCCCTTAAACCAAGATGCGTTCCGCCTTCCTAGGAAGTTATTAGGCAGGCACAGTCTTTGAGTTTTTATTTAACCTTATGACCTAAATAAAGTTGTGCTGTCTCAAGTGTCGTACTAACTGAAACGTGAGGTGGCCTGGTGCAGCACACTCAGTTGGAGAAAAACACGATAAGCGCGAACTCAGATGGGATTCTGATGAGTCACTCGCAAAACCAAAATAGTCGCATCTAATTTGAAAGCTATTCCTGACAGGGCTTTCATACAAATGTTCGTATATAAAGCCGCGGGGCGGGATGGCCCAAGTGGTTAGAGCGCAAATTTACTGACCGGAAGGTCCGTGGTTCGAACCCGACCTATGCCTCTCGACTTCTGTCTAGGCTTGGGCAAGCTGGCAGTATCCCAGCCCTCGCGCAGCCTTTGGGTGGCATGGCAGTTAGGCACCGAAAGGGTGCTACAGCTGAGTGACTACATATAAAGCCATACATATTTTAACTTATAGGATTTTAGAGCCTGCATTTTGTCTTGAAGCTCTGATGAAGGTGTGCAGCACACAGTTCACCTGGGGGAAGCATTTCGTGCGGCACATATTTCTTCCACATCAATCTGCCCAGAAAAATGAGTACATGGTGTGTTTGATTGACCCAATTCGCAACCACTCAAACTTAGGACGCCTTTTCACGCTTATATCTTTCTATAGCTTGAAATATGAAAATTGTTAGTATCAAAAATTAACTTTAAAAAATTTTGTTAGTTGTGAAACTTTTGAAGAATAAACGTTTAGCAAGCTGCGAGGATTCCCGCCTTGCTGGAGGAAATGGGGGTGCATTGGTGGTAATCACCCGCATTTTCGCACCCAACTTGCTTCTACTAACAAAGACAACCATTAAAGCATCAGTGTCTACCGCGTTCCACTTGGATGCCCCTTGTAAGTAAGTTTGATATGAGCATTCGTCTTAATGTGAGTAGCTCTGTGCGTTTTCTTCCTTCAATATATTTGCTTTGGTAGACATAACGTCCACCATATTTTGGTGTTTCTACAAGACCAGCCAATACAATCCTCGAGAAGGTACCTGATTCTACTTAATGAGGAATGGTCAAAATGGTGTTTAATCCCAAATCCTATTCTTGTTAGAATGTACTGTTGAAATCTCTCACGGCTATGACTGCTTGAAGAACGAAGAAAAATTTGTCACATCCCGTCGATTCTTTGGCTGCCTCGGCACTTGAATCTCCAGCGGTTAACTGCGAGTCAGCCCTACCACGACACTGCAGTTCACTGACCATTTTAATTCAGCCAAAGACAACCGTATTTTCTACCGTAGTAAGGAAGTCAGTATATCCATGGTTTTTGAACCCATACTCCTTAGTTTATCGATTGGGTGCTTCCCAGGGACACATACGGTGTAAAAGAGCAAGAGTGGACCTCACTTCTATGCAACCGTTCTCGGTTGACAAAATATTTGTTGCATTTTTGAGACGGTTTTGGTATAAATATTCTCCCATTGAGACTGATCGTAATACGCTCCTCTCTACAACTATATCTGTAAGGATCTGAACTGACACCTTTTCAGCTTTCTAGTTCACGCCTTACCTCAATGCAGCAATTAATCTATAGACACAGTTCATCTAGTTTGTACCTTAAGAACTAACATGAAACCTCTGGCACCAAGGTGAACCATCCAAGGGAGTTCCATTAAAAAACGCTCACGGTCAGTCGTCGACTGTCAGGACATAAAGGACTACATAAAGTGAATGTCATTGATTTTAGTACAAATTCGTTCACTCCTGAGTCTGCTTGATCCGTAGTGAACTCCGCGGCAGAAGTTTACCTTTTTTCATTTGCTATTATACCAACTGCTTTTGAGTTTAGTCCATTTCTTTCGCTTAATTAAGTTTTTTTCCGTTCAGCCGATGGATTGGACTTAATCAGCTCAACTACCATGGTATCATATTGCTCTCCACTAAATGCACTTGACATGCTGACCAAAAGTTACGTCTTGGGTGGAGAAACGGCTAGAAAATCAAAAGACCTTACACTGATCCCCGATACAAAACCACTCCACATCTGTCGCTTCTCCAGACACTTGAACAAATTTTGCGACCGAAATTCCCGGCACGCGGGAGAATGGCAGGAGAATCTGGAATAAATTTGATCCACACGGTCATTCAACTGTTGTGCCCCCACGATCTTAACTATCTGGGTTTCAGAAATAATTCACAGCTTCACCAGTGCTGCATAGGAAGCCACTCGGGGGGAAGCACGAGGGCTGAGATACTGCCAAGTTGCCCAAGCCTATACAGGGGAAGTCGAGAGGCGGAGGTCAGGTTCGAACCACGGACCTTTCGGTCAGTAAATTTGCGCTCTAACCACTTGGTCCATCTCGCCCCAGTGCTGCATGTCATATCGTACAAATTCTTAAAACTATGATAAAATTGATGTAGAAGTAGTTTTTCATCATTTTTAGTGAGAATATTGGACTGACAGGAAAATGACAATAACAAGGCCGTCATTTTATGAGCCGGCCCATACAACAGAGTGTGTTTGTTCTTTTAGGAGGCGTTTGGTACCACAGTCAGCATCTTTGCGAGAGCATCACTGTCTCATGCCTCTTGGAAAAGGTCTTCTGCTTGATGATCTCAGTTGAAAACATAAAACAACAACTGGGGAGTCGCAACGAATCCCAATAGGAATATTGTTTGTTTTTTAGATGCATTTCTAAACTTACTCCATTTATAATTTACAATTTTCATAAGTTCTCTCACATTTTGTAAAAAAGATTCTTCATCAGTTCACAATCCCTGAGGCACATTTGCTTGATTTTGTTACAAGCATAGTGAATAAAACCCGACTCTTGTTAGACTCACAAACAGATACCCAGATATCCAAACGTTTCACATAGATCTGTGCGACTGTTCGGCCGGAAAAACTTAACATCTGGAAATTCAGCATAGGTGACTAAAAGAAGGTATATCGGATGATACATTCTCATGAAAATTTTCAAAATATTTTGAATAGAAACTCTTTCCAGGATTACCAACTGCTTTCAAAACCTATGAAAGCCTTCTGACAAATGTTCTTGTTCTACACCAAACGATATCGCGGAGGTTCGATTTGAACAGGCTATTTAAAGCGATAAGTGGAGCCTTCAAGTTCTGAGGTTTGCGCTGATGACTCATGTAAATATGAGGTAAGTGGGTGATAAAAAACGCAGAATGGACATCAAGAAGTTGCATTAGAGTGTAACAAAGTTAGCGTTTGCCTCAGCTGCCTCGCCTCCGGTTAGTTTTCCCTGGATCTCTACAGTTACCAACGAAGTTGGTATCAAAAGATTTCTTTAGATTCTGGTTTTAAATTAGAAGCTAGGAACACTTTTTGACATACATTGTCCTTTCATTAACACATTGTTTTAACTGACGATCATTAAAAATTTGCTGGAGTATTTCGCGTTTTCCACCGTTTTACTTTGTCGAGGGGTTACTTTCTTTTGCCCACTCAAAAGACATGCTTATCTTTATGGTATGGTATCTTATATGTGATTTATTACTCACAAGAGTACACATCCACACATTTTCCTCCTCCTCTCGCTGGCTCTCCTCGCCATCTCTGTCCCCAACTTCTAGGCCGCAAAATTAAACAGAAAATCTAAAAATTGAGTACGCACGCGTTTACATTTTAATTAAGATCATTAGCAGCTTACGCCAGTCACTACGTATAATCGTGTGAAAATGTCACTCAAATGGAACGAAAATGTCAGAACAACATTTGGCCGGCAAGCGCATGAGTTTGGCTGTGGATCCTTTACTGTTTATTGTCACATCAACAAATACAATGGCGCAAATTTGCTGCACTTCCACCGCATCTAAACCTTTTGCCGCTGTAAAGCGATTAATCTTTCTCTTTTTGGATTTTTTCATATACATACCGTAGCAGATTTCGGTCTTCCGGCGTGAATGGCCTATCACTTGTCACTGTTGTTCACCTTCACATGATGATATTAACTAGGTGGCAGTTGGACAAATGGTTGCTTAACAGAGACAGCTCTATAGTAAGACATTCTGATTCAAATTTTTAGTCTCTCAGCTTCATGATCGGGTTTACATGCTTGCAAAACTGATGGCGGCCAGTTGAAGGTTTATAAAAGCATACTCTGCAGTAACGCTGGCTGGTAAATGCACTAAAGGGCTCCCGAAGCCATGTAAAGCCTATTCAGGAACAACCGCAATACTGTCACAATCTGTTACCCGGAAGCAATGTATACCCTACTTTCAATGTGCGCCAAGTGGGCATATTATTCCTAGTTTAATTGGTATCAAACGATCCCAATATAATATAGATAATTAATGGGGACTAATCACACGTCAAACGCATCACTATTTGAGGAGCGCGACATCAGACATTATCTGGTAACAGTTGTCTTTTAACCAAAAATACATACCGTTTCCGTAAGGATGTGGGCCTTGCGTGTTTCCACCACTTTTTCATATGGCCCAGGCAGATAGACTCTGGGGGTGCTTACTAGCCATTGTTGCCCATACGTACGCGGCGTGCCCGTCTGATCCTTGCAATCCTTTAGCGCCTGTAAGCATAGGGCTGTGTTCACTTCGATTTTGATCGCTTCATCCGTGCCAAGAATTTGTACTTCTTTTCTTGGATAGTAGGTAGCTATTTGCAGCAAAACGTTAAGAATTGTAAGTAGGTTTCTACGACATGCACAAAAAATCCGTCACGAGATTAAAATGAATGGCGAGCTCAAAATAAAACTGCACAATGTGGTCAAGGCCATCCGTCGTATATGCACAACTCTGTCGATTCTCAGCTTGAGGTGAGCCAAATCAACCGCATATTTCTTTGAATAGAAATAAACTAATAGGTGTAGATACAAAGCTCTGCGAAGTTGTCCTTAAATAAAACGCGGAGTTGTGAAAGATCACTTAAAATAAAACAAATCAAAGCAGCCATCTGGTTTCAAAAATATACTCTGATGTATAAAGGGTAAAGACAGATTATCTCTCAACGGCGAATCAATAGTTTCAGGATCATGGCTGCTCAGTTGCTGGACGTAAGTACTGCCTACTTGCGAGGTATGTACTTAGGACAAGCTCCCACATAGTTGGTTTGAAGCAGCCAAATTCAGGCCTATTTTTCGTGGGCATCAAAGCTAAAAAGGAGCATCATTTGGCAGGCAACTTAGTGAGGTACAAGCGAATTGAGTTATTGGAAAATTTAGCTGTGGCATTTGTTGACATCCGAGCAACAAACGGATAAGAAGAATTGCTCTCAGAAAATATATATTTGCGTGAGAAAAGTAGGCATTTACGAAGGCAGCATCCAATCAGACAACCAGTGTTTCAGTGTTTGGAAGCGCTGTTAACCTTCACGTGACACAACGGTTATAAGACTGTTGAAAACTCTTGGGTTGGGTTCCAAGTTAACACAAAATTAATTAGCAAATGAGAGTGTCTTGTTTCCCTAAGTCTTAATATAAGCATATTACAAGTTCATAGGCTACGTATGCCTAAACCTAAGTAAGAATTGGCTCCATATTTCAGTGAAATTTCTTGAAGGTAAATACTCTGTCGTAGAGCGCTTCACGTTTTTGCTGCCTGGATAAGAAAAAGTTATGGAAGTTGTTTTATCAACCTAAGTGCAGGTAGTTTAGTGTTTACCTTGCAGAAGAACAAAATTGTGCATTGTTTGAAGTTATCCGAGTCACTTGGTGCTGGTTTGCAGATTTTGTAATGTAAAATTGTCCTTTGGTGTTAGATTACTACGGTGGCAGTCATCATTATAATTAGTCTTTTCATCTGAGCATAAAACCGGTATCTCACAAATAGAAAAACTACATGGAATGTATACGTAACAGCAAATCAAATGCAAAATAAGAACAGTACCTTTCAGATAATGAAAAATCACAGAAAAAATGAGGCTTTGAGGAAAACACGCAACATTCTCGTTGACTAGGTGTATATAAGACACCAAAACTGTGTTACTAGAGCCATGTGTAATCTAAGATGTACCTGATAGACTCATAGGCCTTTGAAATACAACCAGTGAAAATTCTGGGGCTGTATTATTTTTTGACACTTTTCCAATCTGCTTGTGGATGGTCTTTGACAGCCTTTTATTAGTTTAGCCCAATTTTGTGGCCCAATCAAAAGCAATTGGAAACATCCAAATGTTACCCTTGAAAAGACATACTGACTCTCAGGACGCAATAATATAGATGCCCAGGCCATTCAAGCTGGTATTGATCAACTTGCTTTGCTCATAGATAGTTCATGGTGTTGATCAATTTAACTACCGTTGCTGCAGTAAATACCAGCAACAAAACCACACGTATGTACTAACCCTCCAGCATTTAAAATCCCTATGCAGCACTTTGGATGCACATTGAATGTAGATGGTAAAGCTAGACTTGAGGTTATGTTATCTTGGCAGCCACATCATGGCTAAGAAAAAGTCAACCACTCCGTTAGAGGTTGTGTGCGTTTTCTGATTTTCTAAGCCAAATATGAGATTTTTGAAAGTAGTCTTAGCAAAATATCTATATCGATTCCAAAGATTTAACATTTTACCCATTGATCCAATTGTAACTCTTGTGTGACTAAAAAACGTGGTTCCATCAGAGACAGCAGACCATTTTAAAAACAAACAGCAGACTACAATGCTAATTGCAAAGCGAAATGCAGACGATTTGTGTATTTGGTCTTACCATGGCCAAAAATAATCTTCAGGCTAAATTTGTCTGTCGGTTCAGTAATTGACGTGTCTTAAAAATTAACTTCATTAACAAGTATGCAGTAGATACTTGAAGCACATAATGCTATCTATGCTTTACAACTGTTTGTTAAAACTCTCCCAAGCATAAAAAATGCTGCCACTTTTGTGAGGTTCTTTGTTTCCAGATTAATCGAACCAAGAGCAGTTGATTGAAGAATGGCAAACAGAAATCTACTTAGTGAGAAAGAAGATTTGCCTAACCAATTTGAGGTTTAAATTTGTACAACGCCATTCAGAATTTCTCAGCATTGTAGCAAGTAATAACATTACAATAAAACGCGTCTGTTGATCTGACCCAGATAACCTAACTGGCAATAGACATATAAAGGTGAATTCGGTCCCACTGTATATTTTGGGAAAACCTTTAATTTTCTTGGCTGCAAATGTAAACGACGTGAATAAATATATTTGCCAACGAATTGTAGATAATTCTTCGTCAATATACTTTGTTTTGTATGCGCACATACTAGCCTCGAGCGAGATACATCAGCACACTGTAAGAAAGGATGCTGTTGTAGGGACAATTATTTGTCCAATTTTTTATTTGGTAGCATAACAGCTTACTTTATCAGACTTTTTTTCAGATAGTTGAATTAAGTACAATACTGTTGAGTTGCATTGCTTAAACATTACTTTATTTCAGCTCACCTGATTTTATGGTAAACCCAAGCCAAGCACTATACGGAATAGCACTGACTCCAAAAACATGAGCTTGTAGTTCAGTACATAGTTTTTCACGTAACGCATCCAGAAAACTCATGCTGCAAATGAACAAAACTTCTCCCCTGAAGTACTGCTAAGCAGCTCCACAAAGTTGTTCGAATTTGCGTTACGATCTTTAATATTGCAAGCAATGACTGACAAACTCCATGCTTGACAGGTAATGTTCCTGTTTTTTGAAGTTTGTCTTTATTACTCCTCTTAATTGTACGTTTTGAGAACAAAAGCAACAATAGGACCACTTTTTATTCACACGAAAACTGAGAGCAGCAGTATTTAGAAGACAGGACGCATATCTTTTACTTTAACAACAGATCAAAGGTATTTGGGAGTTTCAATTGAAATCTTACCACACAAAAGCCATTCGAGGCCCGAGAGCGTAGGATCATGTTTAGTTTCTATCGAAATCACCAATATTGCACTTCCTAAAAGTTTCTAATTTTATTCAAAACTGTAACTTTCTTGCCGAAACCTGAAAACCAATTTGATTGGCAACGTCTAGCTGATTAGAAGTATGACCCATAATTAGTGGAGATATGGCGCCATTCACTCAACCGTGAAGTTCAACTCACATAGATGCTTACTAACTCAGTGACAAACGAGAGATTCATCTGCGTAAATTGTCCTTCATCTGAGCTTATGTTCAATCCTTTGGTGATATCAACATTTTAAACCGTTATTTGAAAGCACGGGTCACTTGAACACGGTGGCAAACACGGCAGAGTTTTGAGGGGAAATCGAGTATTTCGCCAGTGAACACATAATACAACGAGTGATGTGAGAAAGAAATGGCAGTAGCTGCATCTATCAATTGCTTCAGCTCAGTTTACATCAGAAAATTATTTTGTAAACCATCAGAATTAATAGGATATTGATTACACTAAAATCCTCGTATATAGGGAGCCAAAAAAGTAAATAAAGATATTTCTGACTCCTGGATTTCTGGTACCGTCAAGTTCTAACACCAAAGGGGTTTTCAAGCGGAAATTTTAGAAGCAACGGGATAAGGTAGTCAATGTCTGTAGAGTGAATATGCCATTTAATTCCGTGTCTGGTTTTTCTATTTCCTCCTGTATTCCATGGACTAGATCCTGAATTTGACGGTGTAATTTTGCATAATGGGTGCTTCTCACTTCAAGTTTCTAGGCAAACACATTTATACATTCATCTCATACTTTGCTTTGTATGAAACTGAATTTCATCCTCTGTTCCGTATTCTTTCTCAAACATATGGACAGAATGTATTACAAGAATTGGATTGAAATATGCGTTGATAGGCTTTCCTGCAGGACCATTCAAAAAAGGAGTGATATGGTTTTGCCCACCTGGGCCGTGGAAATGCCATTCCTCTCCAGCTACCCTGAGCTCGTCGTGTTCGGTGAAGTCAACCAACGCCTGAAGACGTAGTGCAGTGTTCAGTTGAACTATAGGGAGAGGCTGTACTCCTTTAGCAAGTATTTCTCCAGGATAGAGTGGGAATGGGTCTTGGTGAAAACGATAATCTTCATCCCCGAGATTAATCTTTACTTGACCGCATACATCGAGCAGTGGCTGATTTCTGGAGTCCCGAATTGTTGGATTCTTGATAACACAATACTGTGACTTTGTTAAGCATATCATTTTCTCCGGACCCAATACCAGCCTAAAAATAATCTCATCTACATATAATGGACGTGACTTACTTCTCATCTTGAAGACAGTTATAAGTTTTGGGACCGAGGACAAGCCGGGTTACATGCGTGTTCAGATTCAGAATATGAACATATTCATAGGGCGCTATGCGCACTGCTGTATCAACTGCCATCACAGGGTAACTGTTTTGAGGTGTCACACAGCACAGCTTTGTTTCTGCAGTTGTATAACCACGCCAATCCGCCAAGGTCACCTAAGCCATTTTAATTCAAATACAAATCTGAAGCAGATGTGGCTCCAGGGAGGTAGGAGAATCGGAAACACAGAACAAGATGCCACAGAAGTTACCAAACATTCGTCTCAGTTCCGTTCGGAGAGTGAAGTTCTTTGTTGACTGTGACGGATATCCTCAACATAGAATCAAAAATTCAGTATAAACACCCCATTAACACGCATGGTTCATAATCTTCGAATGATCCTTTGTATTTTTCGGTAGAATTTTTCATATTCGCCCAAATACGCTATACGTTTACCCTGTTTGTCTTGCCATTTCACGCTTTTTTGTTTTATTCATTCTCCATGCTGTTCAAGTCGACTTACGGAGTACACTGGCAAGCCATTTACACTTGGTGTTTCGTCAGTCGCTTGACGAAGGCCGCCTTCCCCCTGCTTGGAAGGAAGCGATTGTCACGCCAAT